TTGGTTAGAACTTGGACAGTTACTGCTATGTGGCAATGAGTGCTAAAACAGTTTACCTCAGGCTACTGCAAAGACAAACAAGTGTCTCACAAGGTAGACTTGGTCTGCCAGCTGTCATCGTCTCCCACGGTCTTAGCACAAGCCAGACAGCTGAATATATCTGTAGGGCTTTTTTTCTGTGAAACTGTAAGTTACATTTGATAGCCAGATCATCAGGTTGTATAAACTACAAAAGCTATGTGGCCTCAGTGCACATTATACAGTTTACTCATCTGTGTTTTTGACAACTTGTGTTCATGTGAAAACTCTTCTTTTGCAGCCCTGCATTAGGATCAAGAGCTAAAACCACAGAGTATTTTGAGGCCTGTTTCTGTACTGAGAAGGAATCCATGGCACAAATGTTATTTAAAGCACCATTAAAAAAAAAAAAAATGCTTCCAGTATGCTAATTGCAAAGCAGTTATCAAATCATAAAATATTCTTTCAAGATATAGTCTTACGTACTAGCATAATTAACCCCAGAAATGCACACATTAACATGCCATATTGAAATACTGTTTCTTGAAGTGCTTACTGGTTTTAAAGACGCTCAACATAACACAGCATATTTTCTTTAGAAATAATATAAATGTTGAAATTGAATAAAGCTGTATTTTTGTTGCAAAGCGTTTGTTGTGATTCTTGTTTTTACTCCTGTAAATCCAGCTCCAAGTATTTCAAATAGCTGAGAACAAATGCCCACATCGTTGGAAAAAGAATGCTTGTATGTTCTTAACCTTGGTCTCATTTTTCCTCCACCCAGACACTTCTGTTTTGTGGAATACTCTAGGAATTATTCACATTCATGAATTAGCAATCAGCATGCACAGTGATTCTTCACTGCCACGCAATATTCATAGCCCTTTTTGGCCTGGCAGTGTCTGTGCCAGCTGGTGGGCACAGGCAGAATTAACCAGCCCTACTCATGGTGCGTGTGGAAGAATCACCTCATTCCTCTTAGGTTTCTGCTGTTGTTTTTTGACCCTGTGCTACTCTGACACAATGTCGTCCGAGCCTGGAACTTAAACAATTTGCTTCCAAAATGCATTATAAAAGCCTAAGGAAGATGACTGTCCATGCTTGCATGAGTCAGCTGCCTTCTCCCTGATCCCTTGATCCTCTGAACCACGAATCGCCCCACAGGTCTACGTACGTTCAAGACCTTTTCACCGTGGCTCTGTCCTGGTGTGCAGGAGCATTTTGCCTCCTGACATACTGCTATGTGTTGTGGTTGAGATTAATATTTTAATGAGAATTGCTGCAGCTTCCATTAAAATGAATGCGATGAACTAGTTTATAAAATACTACCATCAGTCGCAACATTACAATTAAAAACAGTTTAAATGGAATAGTCCTCAGGCTGCTCAGCCTCTTGCACTATTGGACCTGGTGTAATTTCAATCCAGCCTGCATTTAAAGTGTTGAACTCTGGAACTGTGAAAATAGGAGCTCAGCAATCCATGAGTCTATACAGGTAAAATATAAATTCTCCCTTGATGCAGAAACACACATGTCCTTCAGAATGTTATGAACAGATTGATAAACATAAAAGCTTTGTTTTTTTATTAGTTTCCTTTCTTAATGGAAATATAATAAGACAGCATAAACGTTAACCAGATGGTGAAAAAAGAATAATTCAGAAAAGCATTTCAGTGAGTAAGAGAGAGAGTTCCTGGGAATAGAAATCAACATGTATAGATAAATATAATAAAAAAGTATTGAAAAACTTTAAAAAATAGATGTAAATTCATACGTATAAACACATCTATAACTACAAATGTGTTATAAATATTGTACAAGATGTAATAGGCTTACCCACCAAAGACCTAATTGTATTTCTCATTTTCAGTAGAGCATTGAAGTGAGAAAAATTCATACTTAGAAACGATGTGATCTCTGTAATTCTCAAAGGTCTTAGTAAGGTTTCCTCCCCATTACTTCAAAGCATTCCTTGCTTGTGGGCAAGATGGTCTATCACCTGGGATAATTTAAACCTAAACCATACCATGTGAATAATGCTTCTGGCTGGATGGGATTTGGGCTTTACAGAAATTAAATTCAAGAAGAGAAAAAAGTTGAATTTGGAACAAATTCAGACCAAAGCAAATCACGGAATCACAGAATCACAGAATGTGAGGGGTTGGAAGGGACCTCAAAAGATTCACCCCCCCTGCCAGAGCAGGCTCACCTACAGTAGGTCACACAGGATGACGTCCAGGCGGGTTTTGAATGTCTCCAGAGAGACTCCACAACCTCCCTGGGCAGCCTGTTCCAGTGCTCACAGTGGAAAAGGTTTTTCTAATACTTTTGTGGAACCTCCTATGTTCCAGCTTGTACCCATTGCCCCTTGTCCTGTCATTGGACATCACTGAAAAGAGCCTGGCTCCATCCTCCCGAAACTCCCGTTTGACATATTTATAAACATTGACGAGGTCACCCCTCATCCTCCTCTTCTCCAAGCTAAAGAGACCCAGCTCCTTCAGCCTTTCCTCATAAGGGAGATGTTCCACTCCCTTCATCATCTTTGTGGCTCTGTGCTGGACTCTCTTGAGCAGTTACCTGTCTCTCTTGAGCTGAGGGGCCCAGAACTGGACACAATATTCCAGATGTGGCCTCACCAGGACAGAGTAAAGGGGGACGAGGACCTCCCTCGACATACTAGCTACTCCCCTGCTAATACACCCCAGGATGCCATTGGCCTTCTTGGCCACGAGGGCACATTGCTGGCTCATGGTCATCCTGCTGTCCACCAGAACCCCCAGGTCCCTTTCTCCTACGCTGCTCTCCAGCAGGTCAGTCCCCAACCTATACTGGTACATGGCGTTATTTTTTCCCAGGTGCAGAATTCTACACTTAATATCATGAAGTCTGCAAGCTAAAGCTATGAAAAAATGAGAAGAGTGAAAGCACAGAGTAACATTTTTTTAAAAGAGTAATAGTACCAGCTCAAGGATATGAAAGGAAAAAACCTGTATCTTAAGGCATAAAAAAATCCTTAAAAGCAGAGGATTAGGAAGTGACTACTCAGCAACACTGAGGATCAGCCTGTTATGAGGATTAATAAGCCCAGCCCTTGCTCACCTGATTGATGTTTGCCTACTCTGCACAGGGTCACTGGCTGCATTGCTGGAGTTGGTGAGCATGTTAATAGTGTTTCATATGAATAAGTTGTATATATCGTTCTTTCAGTATCTCTTTGTACATTTTAAAAGATGTCTGAACAAAAATGAGCTGACGATTTCTATGTAGGACTGCTCTCACTTACCCAAGGAGTAGTATCTAGCCATACACAGGGAAGTCCTAGGCAATTTATACACTAGCCAAGTCAAACACCCCAAAGTAAATGGCACAGAGTATCTTCCAAGATAAGGAAAGAGCCTGCTGTAAGCTATTTTCTCTAGAAGTGGACTAGTGACACTTGCATTGCAGTAATACTAAGCTTAATATGAATCTGAAGTGCCTCTAAGCCTGCTTGGTGCTAAGACCAATGGTAGACACGTGGACAACTTGCTCAGGTTTGGGAGGCTATTTCTGCCTCTGGCCTTGTTGGTCTACCCATAGTCAAGGGAAGAGTTTAGTCCTGGGGTGCAAGCATTCACTAGTGGGATCAGATAGGGCCACACATTTGAGATGAATACCATTAGGTACGTTTTTGCTATGCAACACTAGCACAACACCTCACAGAGCTCTTACTGACAGAGAAATATGGTATGTGACTTCTGCTTCACTTCTAACTGGCTGGTGAGCTTTGAGATGAGCAAGCTCACTGCAAACCGCCTCTCTGAAGCTACATGCAGCCATGTAGAGGCCAATCTGTCCACATTGATCTACACTGACAGCATAGCGAAGGTGGTATGTGGTCCATGGCATGCCAGGACACTGCCATTAGTACCTGGGAGAGAGAAGACATTGTGGGATAATACTTCTGGTGAAGTGGTTTTGTTTTAAAAACTTGTACTGATTTCAGCTATTAACAATAAAGAGTAGTAAGTATAACTATTGCAGCCATTACAAGAGTCAGTAGTTAAATTTCCATTTGAATTCGAAGAAAAGGATGGCTCATATCATTGCAGAGTTTAAATTGGAGATAAACAATTACATGGGTTCTCTGATGTGCTGAGTTATACCTACTGGCAAATGACTGAACTGGGGTCTGGCATCCTGGATTCTTCCAAACTGGCCAAGAGTCTCTTCATTTTCCTGGCAGAAGGCAGCAGTACTGCAATTATCCCTCTGTGTCTGGGTGCAAGGCTTGACATCAGTCAACTTGCAGAAGTCAAGAGAAGCCAGAAAAGTGCCACAGCTTTCTGCCATCTGTCCTGGGAATGACCTTCAGCACCCAGAGATTCTGGTGACTGCTATGTCCTGCCCTCTTAAGGTGATTAGAAAGTAGATTTTTATGATGCCCAGTAGGCTCATTCAGACAAATCAGTGAGACTTTTGAAAGAAAGGCTGTGGAATAATCCTGCTACGGCTTTAAAGAGATTCTTGCACATATTAAACTTTTTGTTTGTTTGTTACTTCACCAAGTGCTCAGTGAGACTAATATTTTAATTCTTGCCAAATGTGTGGTGTTTTCTGAAGCTCAAGGGTAGACATCAGGTAATATTGAAGCAGATACAAGTCAGATATTTTTGTACTTAACTATAAAGACTTGGACTGGGATCCTAAGTCAAAACCTTAGCATAGATATTACACATGGAATAGGTTAATCTTCAGTAGAGAAAATGGATCATTTTTAACTGCTTCTAAATAGTTACAGGTTAAGTCAATGTGTGTTGTCATACAGTGATTGGAAAGCTACTTTTGCTTACAAAGGAAATTATTAGATAAAAAGTTTGCTGAAACGTAAGAAAATAGATAAATGTTTTTTAAAGTCTGAACACATACCAGCAATTGGGAAAAATAGATTTTATTGAATTTCAGCACAGTTTCTTGTGTCGCAAAAAAGAAAAAGCTCTTTAGAAGCACAAGTTACCTTTTCATATTCCTTTAAAAGAAATCACATTCCTGTGTGAACTTGCTCATGTAATTTCCAGGCAAATCCCTTGCAGGAAGTCTTTAAAGTTGAGAATTAAAAACCTCACACTAAACAAAATCAAATGAAACCAGAGGTCTGTAGCTCAAAACACAGATATTCCTATTCACCTAATCTGACTGGCTGACAACATTCATCACATCTGGTATCTTTTTTTTCTTTCTTATGCTTTTAGAGCAAGGAGATAACTTTGTAAACATATTTCTAAGGATCTGCAATAATGAAGACTTACATTTTGCATTTTGCCAGTGCAAATCAGGAGTTATTCTCTTGGAACTGACATGAGGAAAAGAACTGGATTATCATTTCTAGCGAACACTTCACTTGAGTTTCCATGAACATGTGTTTTCTCATTCTCTTTATGTTTTATTTGATGCATTATACCAGTCAGTGACAGACTTAACTTTGTCCAGACTTGTCTCATAAACAAAATTTAATAAAAAAAGCCACAGAGCTAAGATTTATGTTCTATTATGTGATGTACGGTGATTGCATGTAGCTAACCTTGGCCTTTCTATTAACTTCCACACAGAATATTGCTTGTAACAAAGCAAAATAAAAATCGTATGGCCTGATGCAATTTTCCCTGATCCACAGTTCTTTAGCTGTGGTAGGGACAGTGTGGGAGGCAGGTCCAAAAAAAACACTGCTGGCAAGCAATTTTATTAAAGACTGGAACATTTGGATTCCAAACCCCTATATGTACGCACATATACACATATTCTCTCTCACTGTCTCTGCCATTCATGGCAATGCATCCAAACCAGCTGTGCTTTCAAAAGTAGCTGCTCTTTGATGCCATGGATTTCTGCAGCACTAAGCAGCCCAGCAGAGGTCACGAAGGGAAAGATCCAGATCCCCTTCACTTCCTAAGGAACAGTCTGCCATCAGCTTCTGCAGGTTCTTCTTATTTACTACAAAATGGGGACAGAAGAATAGCTGGATTTTGCCCTCTGCTTGTTCAGCTTTGGAGACTTAAATTGTCTTGTAACAGTTTTGCAATTTAGCCTTATGTGCCATCTCTGCTAGGACCTTCAAATTTCTTTGCTGCTTTTTTTTTCTGAATCTTTTAAATTTTTGACAAGAGTGCCATGCATGTTTCTTTAAGTTTGCTGTGCAAAAGCCTGGAGATCAAGCAGTAAAGGCTATTAGACTTACCTTTTAATATCTGCTCTGCTTTTCTTTGTGGTTTTATTAATACAGCCATTTCCCTTTTAAATAGGAATGAGCACTTGTCAGTGGGTATTTATTAGGCTATTTACAACGATTGCCAAGTTCATTTTGACTGAAGAAATTAAAAGATTAAAAGAGTATCTTTGGGTAATAATTTATACTGAATATCACGTAACCTTTTCTCAATGTGCCCATAGTAAAATGGTGCAAAAAGTAGCATATAAAGCTAAACTAGATCACTGGAAACAAGATTAAAATGGAGGATGCAGGATAAGTTTACTGCAATGTTATATTTAGATGAAATTCAGTCCAGGTGTTACATAGTTTCCAATCATAGAGAGAATGTATTAGTCACAGATAAATGAGAACCAAAAGGAAGAGAGCTTTCTTTGACACAGTATTCATTCCTCACATTGTTTTGGAAGTTAAGAGTATAGCACTAAAATACTGGACCCTGTATATTCTCTATATTCTAAAACTTTTGCTATAAACTTTCTCACCCAATGTTTCATAACGCTGAATACGTACTTGTGTCTCTGTTTCCATTATCTCTGTATCTTGGACAAATAAATCAGTTTACAACATGTCTGACTAATAATTAACACATACAGAGTCTTCCTAGACTCTGCAGCTTTCTGTTTAGGTTTCTTTCTGAATACTAACTGAAGGTATCACATCTACAGTAAATGAATATTTATATGATAAAGTGAAATACAGAGAGCCTAAAAGAGGCTGCTAGACACAGAAGGATGTGGCTCAAAAGTCAGCTATTGCTCCTATATTGCATTGCAAGCGAAGTTTGGATGGCAAAGCAGCTTGACTCTAGAAGTTTCCCCCGAGGACTTTATTCAGTTGAAGACGGCAGTTCTGCACAGTGGAACAGGCTGAAAAGGAGTCTGTATCAGGGAAGGTCCTGCAGGGTACGAGGCTGTTGCACAGGACGGAATGATGATTGCAGCTTTAACATTGTCTCCAAAGCAGCTATATGTTACTGTGACCAGTTCTGTGCCTCGGGTTTTCCTGGCCCTGTAGACTGTTGTGGTGACTACTGGGATGTCTGTGAGCACCCTGTTGAGCCTACCAGGTCAGATGAGCCTTGGCCACCTCCAGCATTGGGTAGGTATGGAGAAAATCCTCAGCTGATATTAATGCATCATGATAAAACTATGTTTGGAAGTAAAATTACAGATTAATCTTTAGAGTGTATGCATCCTGAAAATGTGACTAAAGACAGTGTGAACAAAGATACTAAGTATGCAACTGGAGTAAGAATTATGTTTGTTGTTATTTCTTTGTCTCTGAGTTCATAACTTTAGCTTTGGTTAGATCCCATTCCTGTTGAACAGAACTTCTGTTTCACTTGAAACTTCTCAGAGATTACCTCATTGGGTCAAAATTAGTGTAATCTCAACAATTTCAGTAGAACTTCACAGATTAACATGAGATGAACAGTAAGCTCTGATTTTTTGTATCCATCAGTAGAAACAAATCATCAAGAAAACTGAGGGTTATCCTGAATGATAGTGCTCTGGGGTATTCTGCAGTGGTTTTGATCCAGCACAGCTTTCCTGTGGGATGCTATTTTTCCTGCAACAGCTCAGGTGCAGGAGTAGGTGGTTAGAACAAGGATTTCTGGCATATTTTAATTTCTTGCCAGTTAGTTTGTAGCAGAAATTCCTCCAGGACTTCTCTATTTTTTTATGAACTAGAGCTTGCAAAAAAAATACCTCCAAACAGCTGGTCCCTCCTTGGTTCTTACATAGGCCAAATCTCTGCTGTGAAAAAGAGCTTAGAATTGTGGATTTTTAAAGTATGCAGCTTCTTACTATTGGTAGAACAAATTTGGCTGAATATGTGGAGACTGCATCAAGCTTTCAAAAGCCTAAACCCAAGAAAAATACTTTCATGACTTTTTAAAATTAACCATTTCTTTGCCTGCATTCCAACACTCAGACCACAAGCTCTGCAGGAGGCTGTGCTCCTAAGCGAGGCAGGCAGCCAACATCTGATAAGTGGGAGTGACAGAAATGCTGTAAAACAAATCTGATTTTCCAAAGTGTTTCTAATAATCTAAAACATAAATAAAGACATTTGTTTATATTTGTTTGGTGAAGTGGAATATATTATTTCCAACAGATCAGGAGGTTGTTTTGGTGAGGTCTGCATGAACGTTTAGCAGCATTTCTGCTCCAGAGTTGTCAGCGTGCAGGTCTAGTTTGGCAAATTGGTTCATGGAAACAAATCACTACAAAACCTGCAGCAGTTTGCCATGCAGGACCTGCTGTAGGTCTACTTCTGAAAGGTGAAATTGTAGCAGAAGGTTTAGATAAGGGAATAGGTGTGGATAATATTTTTATTGCCTTTCTTAATCCATTTTTTTTTGCATGTGTGTTCATTGTTTTGTAACTCTTGGACTGTACATACTTGCCAGAGGTAGAAAATATGTTTATCTGTTCAAGGAAGTTTATCTGTCCTGTAGGTGAGCTTATATATTTTTTTTATATCTCATCTCACACAAAATCCTGTTTTGCTGATCCTTAAAATGGTTCACGGATGGAAAGTCTGCAGCTTTTTGAAATCTGTTTATTGGATATTTGTTATTTAAGTAATTTAAAAGGTAAAAGGAGAATAATAAAGTAGCCAAAATCACAGGGGAAAAAAGTAACTCTAAAGAAACTTTCCAGAAATGGATCATCTGAGGAACAAGGAAGAGAGAATCCAAGTGGAAGGAAGAAAATGGAGAATCGAAAAGGACCAAATGCTTGAAGATTAAACAAACTATGAAGCATTTGTAGAAATGACATATTATCTGACTTTTAGTAACTGAGACTATGCTTCTGCTTTTGGCTAAAAATTACTTAAGCACTAGAAGACCGCATGTACCAAAGTACTTTTCACCTGGGAGATTTTGATTTTTTCGTTGCCTGTGGTTTTGCTCTTAGTGCTTCCTGAGTTATATTTCTTTAAATAAACTAATAAATGCTTTGTATGGACCAGAATGAGCAGCAATAAAACTGCTCAGTGTTTTATTTCTGCATCCTCCTCTATTCACTGTTTTACTGCACAGCAGCAGTAAGTTATGCTGTGACTTCTTCCACAGGTGTGCACCATGCTGAGGACCAGTCTTGATTTAATTATGTGGAACTGCTTTGACTCTGCCTTTATGAACCCAGCATTCAATATATTTCAATGGCTTTCCTGAGTAGTTTCAGAAGAAACTGTACACATTCCTGCCTTAGATACTGAATACAAGTTCTGGATTTTTAAATTATTATTTCTATTTTATTTGTTGTTATTAGAAGAACTGTTAGAGTTTCATTTATTGTCTGTATTTATTCAGTATTTAATCTTTTTTTTCAATTACTCTGATGGTACAAAAAGCCCTGTCAGAGATAACACACTGGGTGCCACCCTGGTGGTGGTATAAAAATTACGTATTTGCTAATTGCTTTTATGCTGCACAGTCAGGATCTGATCCACAAGTGAGTAAACCAGGAGACGTTTCACTGATGAAAGTATTTTCACCAATATTAGGGGCAAATAAAGCAAGAGCTGTAAGGGTATAGGGACACTGAACCTGGAGGGAAGTCATCATTTATCAGATACTCTTCCTTCCAGTTGTGATTTTCACATCATATAGAATGGTTTAAGATCACTGAGTCCAACCGTTAACTTGGCAATGGCAAGTCCACCAATAGACCATATACGTAAGCACCTCATCTACACATCTTTCAAACACATCCAGGGATGGTGACTCCACCAGTTCCCTGGGCAGCCTGTTCCACTGCTTAGCACTCTATTGGTGAAGAAATTTTTCCTGATGTCCCATCTACAATATATATAATATATAATGCCATTCATAAAGTCACCAGACTGCAGCTTCAAAGTAATTCATTTCCCAATTAATATATTAATATTCCTACTTAATATATTCACAGCCAGGCAATCTCTCTCTGTCCTAATGCAAACAGTGCTTCTTAGCTTACATATCTCTGCCATGTGCCACTGACACTTCAGGCAGCACTCCTGGCCCTCTAAGCCTTAATTTCGCTAGACTAAAGAAACAGTGTGTTTTTAATCTTCTGTTCCCTAAGCATGCATTATTAGAAAGTCTTTCTGTACTTGTCCAGGTTTGCATTTTATCTCAGGCACAGGCAGTGAGGCCTGCCAGCATGCTCCAGGGTGTCTCCGAGCTGTTGCTCAGATGCTGCATAAGTACTTTTTTTCCTCAATATATTTGAAATATCTTGTTTGATGCCTCCTTCCAGCTACTGTCTGATGCTGACTTTGCAGCAGGCTGTGAGCAGCCATGACACATAAGTAATTTGCTTCCGGTATTCTCTGAAAAATGTCTCGGATCTTGGCTATATTAGCTATAATTAGAGCAGACACTGGGCCTCAGACTGCTTAGGTGGGATGTCTCTCACCTACGTCTGTGCTAGCTAACCTAGCCTGCTCTATGACTAACAGGGAAAGATAGACATTTACAACTAATTCATGAGCTCTAGTCCACCCTCGCACTTCAGTGTGAAATTAGCTTTTTCTCTCCTGCGGGTAAAGGAGGTCTAGGCAGCTGAGGCATATGTCTACGCATGGGCAGACAAACTCCAGCCCTTGCCGTGAGAAGGGGAGGATGAGGAAAAGACCTGATATAATGCAAATCAAGTCAACACTATATTTATATGAAATATTGGTTTAAGCTTCTTAAAAATGGGGGGGAAGGAGAACATGGGGATCCTGGCTCCAAACTCGGTTAGTAGCAGAAGGAACATGATCATAGAATCTTAGAATCATTTAGGCTGGAGAAGACCTTTAAGATCCTTGAGTCCAACCATTGATCTCTACCTGTAGGCTCAGCAAAGGAGAACAGGTTGAAAACCAAAGATCCATGTGATAAGTGCACAATGTTTGCAACAGACTTGATCCAAAGCCCTGCACAGGCATTCTGGATCTTTCTTCTACTGAAGCTTTGACAATCAAATGCACTGGAAAAACAGTTTATATGGAAGATCTTAGAAGACACACAAAGCCTTTTCTCATGGAAGTGTTATCGAAGGAAAAAATTAGAAGGCATATATTTGTTTAGGTTTTATACTGGGTTTTGGAGAGTGTATGAAACACACATTTTCCTTGAAATGTGTATTATCTATTTTTCAAAGAGGAATTAAACTGGAGAGGAAAAAATAATATATTACAATAGGTTTGGAATAGTTATTAGTTTTTTTAATTCATTAACTGGAAACATTTATTTCTATTTTGATTTTTATTAGCAAATTATTTTTTTCTTAAAACTGTATACTTTTAAAATTTATTACTCAAAAATAACTTTATTTGAAGAATTATTTTTATTTACATGTAAGATAATAGTATTTGCGCTGGTATTTTGAATCTATTGCTGATTTTATTTACTACGAATTAGAATGTGCCTGTTAAAAATTAAAATACATCAAACTACTTTCACTGCTTGGAAAAACCTGGAAGTAGATGTTGCCAACCTTCAACTAAATAATTGATGCATACCACATACAACAAATTAATTCAATAGTGGCAAAAGTTTTAATTCACTTCAAGAATTATTATTTTTTTTTCACACATCTATATGTTATGTTGGCAGGTTGTTATAAAGATGGCCGATATTACGGAGAAGGAACAGTAATTAAAGACAACTGCAATTCCTGGTAACGTTTCAGAGAAGAACAAATTGAATTTTATTTAACATATGTTATGAAACAGGAATTAAAATAGTGAGAATACTTAAATTCATATTAAACATGTAATCAGATCAAAATGGCTGGAAGAATAGTGCTGTATTAAGGTGCTGTAGAACTAGATTACAGCCAACTTAGAAGAATGGCAAGAGGTCATTGGGCTTTCCAATCAAGAAATGAGAGTATTAAAATCTCCTCCCCATTGGCCTAATTCTGTTCCCACTCAGTCAGTCTGCTGACTCTGACCTGAGATAAAATGGTTTCAGCTTAGACTTGGGCATTGACCTGAACACAGGCAAGACAAATATTAAAGTTCAGGGAATTATTTTCTTCTGTTTCTTTCGCACGAGTGATGAGACTTTACACTATTTCATAAGGGACTACCATATGTATGCATATTTAAGTAGAAAAGGGATGAACTGTTTGAGCACTCCTTTCTCTGCCTTGGGAGACAGTACAGGCAGGGGATGTTTGCTGCCAGCCTTTGCAGTCGTGTGCCTGAGGCACCTTGCTGCCTTGCCTCTCCAAAAACCAGCTCTGCACCTCCAGCCCCAGGGCAGCCCGGAATGCTCCAGCAGTGCCCAAACAGGGCTAGGGCCCCCACTGCACTGAGGGGCCTGGGCACAAGGTGTCTGTGGCCACATGGCTCCTTTCTGGGTTTCCAGAATGAAAATCCTCAAAACAGCTCATTTATAAGACATAGTCTTTTTTTTCCACTGGTTTGGTCTCACAAAGATAGAAGCAAAATTTTTCAAATATAACCTTTCCCACAAGCTGTAAACATTCCCACTTTGTTGCAGTTAGGATTCATTAGGAAGTGAAGTAGTGAGAATTAGCACTGTGTTTTCGTAAATACTATGTGACATTTTTATTGTTTACAGTTTTTTCTCCATCTTTCTTCTGCTGTTAAAGTGCACACTTTTCATTTGACAACTCATTTTCTTCTCATTAATATTCTTACCCTTTCAGCACCTGTTTCCATAGTCTCTGGAAGTGTTCAAAAGAAGTATGCCTTGTTCGCCAAGACTTAATTCAGCGCATTAATTCTGGAGATTATGGGTGAGAACACTTGTATTTTAAGGTTTTGTTGTAAACCAGTGTATTGCTCATTGTATGGCAATTACAAGTTATGCAGTCCTCCCTACCCCTTCCTCTTCCAATTGCATTACAGCAATTGACAGTAAATGTACATCTCTGAAAGTTTCCTAAATCTCTGGCAGATTATAGTGTTCTAACAGAATAATACTGAAAGTCTCATACTGGTAGTACTTGATGTTGTAAACGTCTACCCAAAATATTCTCCAAATTTAGTACTTTGTTTGTTTTATTTTTTCTCACAAATTCATCTTCCCCTATTCTTCATTTAATATATTACTTCAGATAGATATTTTAAGCCATTTTTTTTCACCTTCCTGAAGAGCATTTCTTTCACGTAACAGGACTCTAGGTAACATGGCAGGGGAGAAGATGGGCCAAATGAAGACCAAGGTATCAGAACTTGATAGAGCTCAGTGCTTTTCTTGCAGTCATTTCTCCTTGTCCCCAGGATTAGGGATAATCTGGTACCTGGTGCCTTGTGGCACTTCAAACCATTTACAAACACAGATATGGGAGATGGATCCCTGGGAGCTGAGGTGTTAAATTCACTAATGAAACCTGCCCAGATTTTGAGCTGTGACTCAGTGCTGAAACATTTTGTACTTCATGGGAGACATTCAAACAGTGAGTTAGGACAGACAATTAAGTTAGGCACTTGAAGCTCTTCACCTCTCACCAGTGGTAATGGTGAGCTTTGCCACAGGGTGATTAATCCCACCTGAGATATGACTCAACTTCGGCAGGTGCCTGTAGACTTCACTAACTACAGTCAGACTGAGAGCTATGAGGTTTCTTATTTGGGCAGCATGAATCCCACCTCCTTGTTCCGCATACAGAAGCAAGAAAAAAGGTGGTAAAGAGAACGCTTTCCCCTGTGGCTCAGTTCCTTTCAGTAATGATAAGTTTCAGTGTGTTCCAAATGTGTATGGCTGTAAGGTACTAGTTTTTCTGTTGTGCATACAGTTTTGCAGGAGTAAAACTGCGATCTGAGTTTAGTTTATCTGAGAGTAGGGAGGGAATAATTAAAATGTCATAGAGACCCCTTTCTCTCAACCTGGTTATTGGTTGAGCTTTCTGCTGGGTTCAACAGGGTCTCACTGCTGGTGCACTAGAGATTGAAGGTAATGTAACTCACACACATGAAGCCGTTAGTTGTCTGTGGGCATCTGGTCTGGAACATAATTTGAGCACAACTTCAAGACCACAGTAGTTGTTATGAGTGAGCATCTTGTTTTGCCGTATTTCTCTGAAGCATTGCATATTAAATCTCCTGCAGGCTGATATAATGTTGACCTCAGATCACCTTTTAAAATACTGCTGTGTTGCTTCACGCTACACATTTGAAGTGGAAGAGCCTGTACTAAATATTTTCTCATGCATACCAAATACCAGGTTTTGAAATGTAATATGAAATATTTATTTCTGGATGTTATTGTTAGTGCATCTCTTACAAAGAACCAAGATATTGATGTGTGTCATATCTTTAACCTGGGTTTTGTTTGTTTTCTATCTGTGAGGAAGATGGAAAGCTGACAACTACAGCCAGTTCTGGGGAATGACACTGGAAGAAGGTTTCAAAAAGCGCCTGGGCACCCTCCCTCCATCTCATTCCTTGCTGAATATGAAAGAAGCTCCAGTAAGTGTCATGTACAATTTTTTTTTTTAAAAAAAATTAATAACATGGAAAAAAATCAATGTGGACAATTATGATTATGAATCAGGTATTTAACACTAAATGCTCCTATGTTGAATATGAAGCTCCCAGAATAGTTCTCCAAGACATAGAGTGTGATGCCCTATTGATGGAAATTAGACAAGGAGGATGCTAAACCTTGGAAAGCTGTGCACCAATATTAACTTATCATTGTAGATCAGCGGTGGTGGAAATGTTTGGTATTGGTCAAATGGAAAGAAAAATAGAATCATAGAATCATAAAATCATAGAATGGCCTAAGCTGAAAGGGACCTTAGAGATCATTTTAATCCAGCCTCCCTACCGCCAGGGGCGCCACCTCTCAACTAGATCAGGCAACACATGGGGACCGAACGGGAAATAATGGGAAGCAAGGGAAAATGAGATGATTCTCTACTACCAACTTTCTAAACCTCTTGGCCATGACTATTTTCATGGCATCTAAATTAAATTTCCTATCATATATTTATGCTCAAATTATTTCTGTTGCAATTAAAGAAGAAATGCAGAGTTACTGAAAGCAGAGTAAATTTTTAAATGCATTGGATCAGCTACTTAAATTCTTTCTGTAATGAAGACCCCAAATTATGGAAATCGTAGACCAACTACACTACCATAGTGAAATTAGAGATACTGCAACAATAAGTAGACAGATCCAAAGTTTGCAAATGACATTAAATATAATACATTAACTATAATAATTTTTTATCTTTGGCTTCTATGTAGTTCAGGCAAGTGATGTCATTTGATTATCTATTTGAAGTCAATTGTTGATGCTTGCCATTCAAAGTCAATAGTTGATGATTGCTGTATATGCATAGGGCTTTCCACATGTCTGTGTGTTTCCACATCACGAAAGGCCTTGTGGGGACAGCAGTGTAAACTACCACTTGACAGGGAATTTGGGAAAGAGGGGGAGAGTCATGTGCCTCTGCAACAATTTTAACAATCCTAACCCTTTTGCTTGATGCAAATTGTTATTTTGTCTCACACAAAGTAAGTTCCCTTCACTAGCGTGGTAAGGCATTGGGTTGTGGCCCAGGTCAGCTAGCTTGCTCAAAATTACGTTATAGAGGGTTACCAGAGCAAGAAGTTGACAGAAGTTAAGCATTGGTTACTTGCTAGACTACACAGCCAAAGAAGGATTGATTTCAGCTGAAGATGTCAAGACAAAATAAGACGATGACGTGCAAGAGTCTAGTGCATTATTTAGGTATCTGCCACAAATTATGGGTTAACTTCATTGAGGTTTAAGACAGTCAGAGCTGATTTGCTGTGATTGTCTTTTCCCTTGAGAAATGCAGTGTAATTCTTATATAGCAGAAGCAAAAAGTAGATATTTTGTACCTATCTCAGAGACTGACATCTATGTTACTAAATATCTAGCTAGGTGAGACAAATCCCACCTAGGAAAACAAGAAAGGGAAGGTTACAATAATTACAATATTTCCTCTTTTACGTTCAGTTTGCTGTAGCTGATTACTCAGCGGTTCTGCCTATTGAATCATGGTTATTAAGCTTACTGGATCTTCTTTGTCTGCTACACTACTTACAGCCTTTGTTCCACTGATACATTTCTCAGGCATATTTTCTCTATTTACTATCTTTTTATGGAATTTGTGAGCCACAACTTTGGCCCTGCCAGACACCTAAGGAACTTCAATGTGTTCAGAAGCCCAGCTTTGCATGCATTTAGCCCTCAGGAAGTCCTACACATTGCTGGAAACATAAGCTTTGAACGAGTTTCTAAGAAATCTTTCTCTCTACTTACAGAAGCTAAAACCATAAAATAATAATCTCTGTATGGCTTTTTCATCTTCTGGTGAATTCTTTGAGCTTGCAGAAAATCGCTCTGAATTGTACTTGAGCCCGTCTCCTACCTATGGCTTCTCTTCAGAATTGTTAGAACTTTCTTGCTCTTGCCCCAGTGGTTTCTGTCTTGGCTATTCTTGATGTAAAAATATTTTTCTCTGATGGTTCCTGTGAATTTCCAAATCTCCCTGATTCTGTCTCCTTCTACACTTTTCTAGAAGAACATAATTTCCTTAGTGGCTTTATTCTGCCTTGGGAAATTTCCTATCTGCCACAATTTAGAACTTCACAAAAAACATAAAAAATGGTTTTCTTCACTTGTAGCCAGCTCTGTATGTACTATGACTGCATGATCCAGCAATTTCATAGCTCCATATGTACTATGACTGCATGATCCAGCAATTTCGTAGCATGGATTGAGCTCACCAGGAGCACATCAACAGATTCCTCCAATTGGCAAGCCAACAATAGCCATGGAGTTAACTTCTAGGCACTTCTTAAGTACCTTACCAGATTTCCAGACACACTTGCCCCTGCTTTTGCCTGTCACCGATATTTTGTGAAGCATGCTAACGTATTTAAAAAGTCCAAAGTGGTAAAAAACAAGTGAGTTTTTATGACAGTGTTTTCATTAAACTTCACCTGTAACTAGGTGACAGCTCAGAAGAGAGTAAAAAGATATGAATGACGAAATTCAGAAATAATGACTTTTTAATATTTTTCAGATAGATTCTTCAAACTGTAATGGCTTGACCTTTAAGTGACTTTGCTGAGTACTGCAGTCCAAGGTACTAGTTAGTTACTGTGGATAAATTGGCAGTAATTAAATATTCATTCATTCTCTGGGATTATTACTGCCTTTCCCATTTTGCAAGTGAGAAAACTGCAAGTCATTTGCCCAGAGTCATATATTTAGTTGATAAAAAATGCTGCAATTAAAGTTCAGTTCTTAGCTCTATCTTGTGCTGACCTGATTAAAACCTAGTTGCTTTGCTAATATAGAAAGAAAACCATAGCCACTCATTCATTAAATGAAACTTTTATTTTACTTCAAATAAGACTCATTTCTTCAAAATGCTACTGGTCTACTATTTAGGAAATGAATTACAGGATTTGGTACCTAAAGGCTTGCTGTGTTGATTATTTTCTGTCTTTTGGGAATGCCTGAAAAAAGTGTTTTTGTGTAGAAGGGGCTCCTTACTCGATTGTGTAGAAAAGACAACTCAGGAATGTAAAGCCCTTCTATGTTACCCACTTTATGTCTATGGAAAAGTCTTAGTTCTCAGCAGAGTTAAAAGGTTTGGTTGTGGAGTACAGGGTTTTTAGTTGTTTCTTTGACTGTCATATCCAGCTACAAACACAGCTGTATAACATTGTTTCAAATCAAACAGTGTGACAGAGCTACATGTCTTCTTAGAGAAAACAAAAACTTCTTGAAGAAGTTTTTTAGAGCTTTTAAAATCTCTGCTATTTATAAAAGACATTCGCAATAACGTGATGCTAGTGTCTGGAAGGTAGTTTAACATGATGGCATGTTTATAACACATAAAAGATGATGATACAGAACAAGAGCTATGGGCTCTCTGCTGCAGAATACGTCTAGATCTGAACACAGACTGATAGCTAAATAAACCACTAAAATTTTTGTGACTTCTGACGTAGTTGAAGCTCACAGTAGTGTCATGTGTGTTATCTCAGAAGGCATTTTGAAAATGTCTGCAGGAGATAGTGTAATCATTCTTGAAGTTCTGTGTAGCATAAAAATAATTTTCATGTCTTTAAAACACACTGTGGTATATACACTTGGTGGTAATCTGTCATTACAGGTTCTGGCAAGGGGTGCACTGAAATGGCAGCACCTGCTCACAAGGCAACAAGATGCTCACTTAAGTGCCACCTTACAAGAAAATGGAATATATAGTTCAGTAATAAGGCACCATTTTGAGTTAAGAATCAAAGAACTCATAAAGACAAGGTGAATGTATATAAAGAACACCAGCTCGTTCTCTGATTTTCATAGTAAAGAAGCTCAGCAGTTGTAGATCTCCCTCTTGCAAACTGAATGTCATGCATGCACATTTTGTGTTCACAAAGCAAGTGATGTCCAGAACATTTTTCCTACATTCAAAAATATATTGCTTTCCCTCAGAAAAACTGTTTCCACATTTGGAAATTCAGCAACCTTCAGCCTTTTTTTGCTCTGATGGGCCATCTAGCCTTTCTGAAGAAGTGAGAGCTGAAGTACAAGTGTTCTTTTATACCCACTTACCTTCCTGCTTTAGCAAGACTGCTAGCTTCACAGCATAGGAAGGTTTAAAAATAGGTTGCTAGTCATTTTACTGATTGCATTGTGCTGTCTGATGCTGGTCCATGGAGCATACATTGAGAAACAATTGTCTAAGACTTACTATTTGTCACAGAACAGTAGTGCTTCTTTATATCAGGGTACCATTTTCTCAGGCAAAAAGGAAATATTTCTGGCTACAGGTCAATCCTGCATTTCTAAATGATAAGACTGAGGTTTAATGAGAGATATACTCTGGGATTTACAATATGAGGCTATTAAATACATTGGCAATAGTTTAGAAATATGTGAAGTAATGCATTGTCTTAGACCTAAAAATCTATTTAGGTTTTTGCTTTTCTCTACTGCCTTATTTGTAGGATTTTATGTAAGTGTTCATTGCCCACATCAGCGTGCTAAACAACCTTTGCCAAATTTAGTTTGTTTACTGGTTGATAGTGAGAAGTTCTATGCAAACGAAATGCTATTTGTCTGGGATTTTGCCTAAATGGTTTATCTTCAAAGTAGATCTTGTGCTTATGTTTGCTCATTGATAAGGGGGCCAGTTAGCTCAGTGGTTTGAGCACGATGCTGACAACAATGACCTGCACCGAGGTCGTGGGTTTGATTCCCGCTAGGTCCCCATGTGTTGCCTCGTCTAGGTGGCGTCCTTGCCCACAAAAGGGAGTTTGGACTAGATGATCTCTAAGGTCCCTTCAAGCCTATGCCATTCTATGATTCTGTGATAATGAAGATAATGATAATTTGGCAAGATATTCTTTAAATTAGCTGTTGCCTTCTGTGTGTCGTTTGAGGTTGCAAGTCCCACATCTCTAACAAGCCTTCGAAAACCAGATTTTTGAATGTGATTAACCAAAATATTGAGAATAATATTTTAGTGAGATTTAAAAGATCACTGGCTTTTTACGGGGTGGAGGTAAAACTTTTAAAATCACTCGTGTGACTTGACAGCTTGCAGTATAGTTTCATGGTTTTTAAGACTCACAGCCTGCATTTAACCACATGGTCCTAGAAGCACTTGAGAGTTGCTGGGTCTGGACATGTACACAGACTGTATCAGTCTGTCTGTTGGGGCTGTATTACAACCTAATATAAGATACAGCCCTGGGGAAGAATGTTTTTTTTTTCTTACCCACTTCTCAACCACAGGTTTCCTGTGGGAAATCCAGATGCAGAAGGTAGATGGAGGCACCACTGTCTCCCAACACGTTCAAAAAATTATCTGGATATGGTAAAGTTTAGTTGCTGAAAGACTCCTGCAACAGTTCCAAAGAACTGGCCCCAAAGGTTTAAATTGCCTCAGTTAAAGATATGTAGTCTTCTAAGTCACAGAAACAATTTAGAAAAATAGTGTATGAAGGACACACAGAATTAGAAGACTACGTAAATCAAAGTAAAATGAAGGAATCTGAACAGAGTTGTGCTTCAGGGTATGAGCCTGCTTATAAGAAAGAAGCACCAGGGAACGTTTTGTTTAGGAACAGATATTTTGTATATTATATTTTTGTCTGGAACAGATGTTATCAACAATTGTTTGAGGCAAACTGATAGAATGGGTAAACTGATATTGTAATTCTGGCCATTTCTATTTTCCTGTGCAGCATAAGCAATCATTTCATGAAACTCAACAGTAAAAAAAAAAAAGATCAATGGCTTTGATTTGTTGAACACAGAGCAGATTATCAGAAGTTGTAGCAGATGGTTCTTGCTTATGTGGATATTTGTGCAAAGCCTGGAAGACATAAACTAAGGCTGAGGGCTGAAGATGCCAAAAGTGTCTGTCCAGATCGCTTTAGTGAGCCGACCATGAAGTCTCACCAACTCAACATCAGATTGCAAAGCAAAAGGAAATTCACTGACTTTTGGTTCTGGAATAATAAGTTCTCGAGATTGGAAAACCTCTGTGTAAAAGACAAATCAATGATAGTTTTTACTGACGGCTCCTCCACGGTAACTGAAACTTCCTACCTGCAGCCACATGTCAAGAAGAACAGGGTAACATGTATCTAATTTCACTGCTATTCATAGCAGAATCATTTTCTTTCCAAAAATGTCAGCTGGATCATAATTAACATGTTTCATTCAGAGAGAAAATGGACAGCTAATTCAAGCTGGCAGTTGCGGAGCTCTCCTTTGCAGCTCAGCTAATAGACAGCCACAGATCTCAATGTTTTAGGTTTTCTCAGTTTAAAAATTAAGAACTTTATAAATACAATCAGGGTAAAATTTAAGAAAAAAAATAGGAATTGAAGCATATACAGATCTCCTACATTTTGTTTTAGGGACACTCACTTCCAGAAGAAAAATTTCCTGCATTTTTTGCAGCCACTTATGCATGGCCTGAGTGGATTCATGATCCTCTGGATCAACGAAGCTGTGGAGCATCCTGGGCTTTTTCAACCGCAAGTAATATCAACATTTTTTTCCATTCAAAACTATTGTTGATGTTAGATGTGTGATGAAAATTTGTAATGATTAGTAATGAAGTGATTTCAGCCTGCTGTTCACTTTTTATCATCAAACAGGAACATTTAAAACTGCTACAACTTTCCCTCTAAGCTGCCCCAAAGTCTTAAAAAGTCAATCTAAGCTGTAGAACTTTGTTTGCTTTTCGTAGGTCTGTGTAACATAAGGAGATCTTTTTGGTGACAGAAGGTAGAACATGAACTGACTAATGCACTTGATCATAACTAGTAGAATAATTTTTAAAATAATTGCATCCCTTGGTTGCCCAACTACATACTTGAGAGCTCAAAGCAGGTAGGCTTTGGGTTTTTTTAATATGTATTTATATATTTGTGCATTTGCCATTGTCCAACTCTTGCTATTCAAGTAAATTAGAGACAATCTTTTCAGTAATTTAATAAGAAGAAAACACTGAAACTGCTCAGGTATTTGTGGAATCAACTCTTTTCAAATCTGGCAAATAAACAAATGCCAGTAATGCAATTCAACCTCATGTGCTACTACCTCTGCTTTTAAGGAAAACGCACACAAGTGTTTGTGTTACTTTCTCCAGAGAAACTACAGCGAACAGCTATGTTCATTTTTCTAAAGATGCAGTAAATCTCAGAAGCTATTAGGATATATAAAGGTAGAGACAAAATGCAATCAGTCTTTATGACTCGATCCAGCCAGTGAGTCCTCACAGGTCCGGGTTTTTGTAACTGCTTCTTTAAATCACAGCGGTTGGAGAAATAAAGGAGAATTCAAGTCAATTAATCCCAGGTTCCTGCCAAAGCCAGACAGAACACACTCCATTACCAATGTGTCTTGTCCTGTGCAGTTTTAAAAGGGAAAACCAGGAGAGCTTCTAACAGCTCTCCTGACAGATTACTGCAGAGACAAACAAGCTCACTGCTGGAAAGGGTTTCCATGTATTCAGTCTAAATCTTCCTTTTCATAATTGAATTAATTATCTTTTGATTTTAATTCACAGAATTATTTTTAAAACCAAATATTGTGAGAGGCCTTCCCATGTTGTTTAGTGCATATAACATTTTTAGTCCTTCTTTGTAAGATTGCTGCTCAGTGAATAGACAAGCACTGCTGTACTGTTTTATCTTGCCATGAGTAATTTCTGTAAGTATTCCAAAACTTCTCAGTAAAAAAGCTTTATACATATGAAAATAAATTCATTACCAAGTGACACCTAACAAAAGCGCAAAACATCATCGTCAGTTGCCGTCAGTAGATTGACTCTTCTGAAGTCTTAACCAAAGTTTGGTGGAATTAATGTTGATTTTGACCAGGCTTTAGATTTAAAGGGCTTTTTTTTAATTTTAATTTCAGGTTAAAAAATGAAGGGTTGACAATTATAAAAATATAAGCACAGGTAATGACAGGGATTGAGGCTTAATAAGTGTTTCATTGTCATTCATTAAAGAGAAGCAGCTTAATTTCACCTACAATTTAACTAGCCTAGTCCGCCTTTGAATCAGTGCATAAATGTATCAGTACCTAGAATTGTGACTATCTAATTGAGTTCAGACATCTCAAGTGCCTATCCCAGAAGAACAACTTTGTGTTATAATCGAAAAAGGTCCAAGGAATCCCACATTTGCATGTTAATATGAACATTTCCTAATATTATTTCCAGTCAAAACAATGCATAATTTCAGTCTTGAATTTTCTTATTCATTGTACATGTTCATTTTTGCCTTTATTTCTTCTCAAATAACAGAAGGAAAGGTAGGAAAGGAAGAAAGGAGTTTTGGAGATTCAGCTATAGAGAAGTGAAGGAGTATTTGCGTCTTCTTCTGAAGTCAACCAGGGACAAATATGCATTTACAAACATGGTAGAGAATATCAGACTACATTCTGTAAATGCTTCGTCTGATGTTTAGGTATATGAACCTTTATGATAAAGAGTAAATCTACACATTTATAATATTATGGCAGAGATTCTCAGGAGGCATTGCAGTTTCACAGCCCTCTCTCTTGAAACTCAGTACAGATTATACCTGTATTGATTTTTTAAGATATCTGCACAGACAGAAAATATTGAGGTTGTATTCCAGTCCCTCTTTCACAATAACGAGTGTGAAGTTGTGAGAAATTATTTGGTTTTGATAATGAAAAATTTATTTCAATACAGGTGTTGCAGCAGACAGAATAGCAATTCATTCTGAGGGAGAGTTCACAGACAACCTTTCTGCTCAGAATTTGATTTCTTGTGATACCAGAAATCAACAGGGATGTAATGGTGGAAGTATTGATGGTGCTTGGAGATACCTGAAAACACATGGGTAAATATTTCATCAGTTTAGATTATTTCTAACTTGAAGCAGTTGCTTAAGTTACAGTGTTGTTTGTGTTATAATGATTTCTGACCTTTCAAAAAAGAGGTATTTATCTCTGTCTGACATCAGATTAACTTTACTACTTCACCAGGACTATCACTCTCTTTCATTTACACCTTCTTTAAATCACCTTCATGAAGTCCATGAACAACAAAGCATTCCCAAAGAAGTAAGGACTATGTTGAATGAGGGCTCTCAGTGGAAAACCTCTATAACCACATCTAGATATTGTCATTAGCTGTAACACAGCTGGGGAAAGCAGTTCCTCTAACAGCGAGACAAACAAGAAAGGGGTTTTTTTTAAAGGCAAAGACATTACTGTAAATGAACTCAAAACTTCTGTGGTTCTTGGGATATAAGATGTTCATGTTACACAACCTTGAATAAGCAGCCAGTTGCATTGAGGCAAGATACTGAATATTCAAAAGGATTAGCTATTGTCTCTGTATAAAGCAATTTGTAAACATCCTATCCCAAGCTTGTGCCAGAATACAACACTGTAGCAAGGACTATACCTAGATTCTTATTTCTTTAGGCCAGACTAAACCAAGTTAATAGCTCTCAAATTCCACATGAACAGCTAGAAGCTTTTTAAAATTATATGTAATAGTTTACAGATTCACAAAATGATTTAGCTTGGAATGAACTTTTAAGGTCATCTAGTCTAATGTTCTGCACAAAGCTTAACCAAATCCAAAATCAGATCAGATTGCTCGCACCACATCCCTAGTCATATTCTGAGTATCAATCAGGGTGCCCTTCTCTTCTCTAGGCTGAAGAAATTCAGCTGCTTCGGCCCTTCCTGGCACATTGTGTGCCATCAGTCACGTGGACACAGTATAAAAAGCAATCATTTTGCACTCGGCAAGTGTACCAAACTATTTCTGATCTGACAGCGATTTGTGTTGTTATGACGAGAGTTTACACAGTGTATTCTTTTTTGTTCTGTCTCAAGGTCTAAACATTAAACAAGTTTTGACCTAAGTTTTGGGTGGGAGACCCTTTAGTGAGCGATTAGAGTGGGCAGGGATGGATTCCACCCAGCAAAGCCCCCCTCAGAGCCTCATGGGGATGAAGGCAAAGGCTTTCTTCATTAATAAATGAAAGTTACGACTTAATTTTTTAGCAACATTTTTCTGTAACTAGAAGAACTGGCTCCCTTTAATCATCAGCTCATGCTCTTAAGAGGGTAAATACAACTCCTTCTCACTTGACTGCACGCCTACCTCTTGGTTAAGGCCAGGAGCCCAGGAATTGACAGTGCAGATAAGATATCTGTTTTGGTGGCTATTATTTCCACAACAGCTGGAGTAAATTATTTGTAGAGGAAAAGCTCCAAAGAACACTGCAATAGGAGAATCTTATATTAACAGTAAGAGGAGGTCTAGGGAGAATCTCCATCCTTTGCTGGATGCAGAGGGAAGCACAGTGACCACCGATATGGAAAAAGCTGAAGTGCTTTATGCCTTCTTTGCCTCAGTCTTTAAGAATAAGACCAGTTGTTCTTTGAGTACACAGCCCTCTGAGCTGGAAGAAAGGGATG